TCCATTACTTTCATATCCTATATATTTTTTTTCAGATATTCCTTAATTGATAGGCACTGTCTCAGTTTCTAGGACTTTGCTACTACAAAAAATTGTTATAAATATTTTTTGTACACATGGGTCTTTTTTTCTTTTTCCTGTCTCTGGAATATAAGCCTAGTTGTTGTTTCAATGGGTCAAAGAGCAGGCTGAGTTTAGTCACTTTCTGGGCATAGCTCCAAATTGCTCTCGAGAATGGCTGGAGCAGTTCATAACTCTACCATTAGAGCATTAATGTGCTTGTTTTCCCACAGCTCCTCCTGCTATTTGTCATTTTCCATTTTGTCATCACTGCCAATCTGATGAATGTGAGGTGGAGTCTGATTTTCTTTAACTTGCATTTTTCTGATTATTAAGTGACTTGAAACATTTTTTCTCACATAGCCATTGATAGCTTGACTTTCTTCCTTAGGAACCTGGTTATTCATATCCTTCACCTACTTATCAACTGGGGAATAGAAATGATGTAGAATGAAGTGAGCAAAGGCACAATGACAATTTATATAATAACATGAATGTAAAGACAAACAACTTCAAAAGACCTGAAAGAACTGATTAATAATGCATTGACAGCCACAATTCAGGGACCAATGATGAAACATGCTACCTATCTCTTGATGTACTCAAGATGCAGAATGAGACTTTTTTTTTAACATGGCCAATTTGTTTTGGAAACTTGTTTTGCTTTACCATAAATATTGGTTGTAAGGATTTTATTTTTCTTTTCCAATGGGATGGGTGTGGGGAGGAAGAAGGGAGAGAAAATAAATGCTTTTTTATAGAAAAAAAACAAACAAAATAAGTCATTGCTCAAAAAGAGATAATGCCTACTTCACAAAAAAATACATGCTGAGTTGAGATATGAAGAAAGATAAATGGTGACACCAGGAAGGTATATTATACAGAGGACGTAATTGTTTGCATGTTATCTCTCCCATTAGACTGAGCTCCTGGAGAGTAGGTACTGGTTTTTTTGTTTGTTTGTTTGTTTTTTTACTTTCTTTGTGTCCCCAGAGCTTAGCATAGCTCCTGGCACATAGTGGGTGATTAATAAATACTATTTGACTTAACAAAAATGACTAAACCAAGCCCTCCTGACTAATAAAAGACAAAATAAAGAAATAACTTTTAAAGACCTAAGAAGGTTGATCAATGGTATACTTAGAGAATCATAGAGAATCAACTAAAAAACCTAGCGTAAATAAATAACAATTTCAGCAAAGTTGCAGCATATAAAATAAACCCACATGTACCATCAGCAGTTCTATATATTACCAACAAAGTTTAGCTGAAAGAGATAGAAAGAGAAATTCCATTTAAAAGAACTGTAGACAATCCAAAATACTTGGGAGTCTACCTGCTAAGACAAACTCAGGAACTATACGAACACAATTACAAAACACTTTTCACACAAATAAAGTTGTTGGGGGGAGGGGAAATTGTATATTCAATGGAAGCGTTCACCTGTATCATGAAAAACATTCTGCACAAAATCCAAATGAAAATGGATTACCTATAGATGGTGAGATTTCTAAATGCTTTTGTTTACCATTTGTACTTTGTTGGTTATATCAAACCTCAGAGTGCTAAAGGGTTTCCTTAATAAGATTCATGATGATGTGAAAGAGCCTAACAATCCACATAAGAAAAAACCAAATGGATGAAGAATGTCTAGTGTCCAAACTGAAACATGCAATTGTATAGCCAGGCTTTAATTGATCATTAGTACATATATCTCGAATAGGTATTATAGGTAGATAAAGAGCTAAGTCCAGAACTGAAAAGAAGAAAGTGAATGGACTACATCACATTTGGGAAACTACATAGCATTTTCAATGACAGTACTCTCCCTGACAAACAAAATAAACAAAAAAGATTTATCATTTATAATATGACTATTGTCCTGATAATGCTATAAATCATGAATTTTAATGAATTTTAAAATGCATTTGACCTAAAGGCAATGGAGAAATACATGATGAACAAAAGCAACCTCTAGCATATTACAAATTATGTCATCTAAAATTGAACTAATTATATTGCCTTCCATCCCTACTTGTACTTTCCCTATTTCTTTGTTGGGACTACTAACCTTCTAGTTACCAAAGTCTATAACTTAGAGTCATCCTTGACTCTTTGTTTTCATGCAATGCCATATTCAATCAGTTACCATTTTGGGGGGTTGCTGTCCTTGGTGCTGGAAGAGGACCAAAATGACATCACTATGTTACAGTCAAGTTACAGTGTGTCTGACTGTGGCTGATCAGACCAATGTGAGCTCGGAATGTTCCACCACAGGTCAGGCACAAATAGTCCATGTGAACATTTGCGGTGGATTCTCTAAATCTGCACATCTTGCACTTCTTCCGAGCTATTTCAATTCTGCTTTGCTCATAGAGCACAGCACCTCCTCTGATGCGGACACGCAATGCTGAGTGGTCCTGTGCCAGCAGCGGGCCATTCAGTTGCCAACACTTGTTGATGATACCCCTAAAACAACTCTCATAGTTCTCTCTTTCTCCCAACTCACGCAGCCCTCATCACCTCTTGTCTGTACTATTTGCAAAAGTTTCTTAATTGGTCTCCCTGTCTTTAGTCTCCCCTCTCATCAGTCTTTCTCCCATATAGCCATTAAATTGATAGCACCAAGACACAGATTTGACCACGGTATTCCTTATTTAAAAATCTCCAGTGACTCCCTGCTGCCTCTAGAATAAAATATAAGTCCTCACTTGGGCATTTAAAACATCACTATCTGGTTCTCACATAACTTTCTGTTCTTATTTCATAGCATTCTCTATCCTATATTCTCCGCTTCAAATTGGCTTGTTAACTGTTTGCTATATACAACATTCCATCTTCTGCCTTCATGCCTTTGCATAAAATGGTCCTTCACATTCCTTATGCACTCCCTCAACTCTACCATGAGAAATTCCTAGCTTCCTCTCAAGTATAGATCAGGCAAATATAGCTACATAAGGCCCTTCCCCTTCCTCCTAGTTACTAGTTCTCATGCCATTCTGAAATGACTTTCTATTAAGTAAATGCAAGGTTTATTTAACATATCTGTGTACCTATTAAGTGACCCTCAGGAGAATGTAAGTCCTCTAAAAGCAAGGACTTTGTTTGGTCTTTGTATCCCTATTGTCTAGCACGGTGCCTTGCACACAGGGATGGGGGACTGGGATTGGATTTGTGATTTCATTAATAAAGGCAACTCCTGGATTGAGGGAACTCCCTCTACAATACAGATCTATACTTTCACAGTAATTTATGCTCTTGAGTTGCCCAGAACACTGAGAATTGACTTGACCAGCATCATACAGCCAATATGAGTCATAAATCAGAGGCAAGACTTGAATCCAGAACTTTCTAGCTCTCTGCTACTGCCACGTTGATTTACACATAGTGGGCATTTAATAAGTATTTACTGAATAATATCTATAAATGCTGTGGTATGACATCATCTTGGAAATGTATAGCTAGAAAAGGAGACCAGCTGGTTATATGAGAAGAGATGAATAGTTCAAGTACTATACTGATACCCATGACATGTTAAAAGAGTGACAGAAAGACATCTGGTGCAGATCATAATGGGCTATTATGGGAACGATGCCAACAAGAATCTTATAGGATGAGAAGGCACAGATGGATTATAATCTGCATGGTTTGACATAATATTCACATTGATGAGATCAGAGATACACTGAATTATTGATAATGCTAACCTTTTCCCTGACATATTTCCTTTCAATCATATTTTTATTATAACTCTATATTAAACAATGTCTAATAGTGAGTAGTTATCTAATTCATACTACTAGTTTAATAAGCATATATTTTTATTAGCAAAAACATGGCATTCACTATATTTTAGGGAGAACACATATATGTGGGATCATCCAGTGTGGAATAATATGGTGAAATGGATGCGATTATTCAGCTACAGAAGTAACTCTACCCAATATGGTTTTTATAAGTGTATTGCCAATGCGACTAGAATGTCTCCCAAATGTCATTACTGAGACAATTGAAATTAACATAAAATAAACTGTACTCTAACTAGTTGGCAGTGGAAAGAACATTGGATTGGGAGTCAGAGTGTGATTGGCTAGTTATAAAACCATGGGCAAGACTTAATTTTACTGAGCCTTTTTTCCTCATCTGAAAAATAGAAAGAAAAAAATTTGCTTATACCTACTTTATAATGGTAACACCATTCAATAAGATCAAATGTGATAATGAATGTAGCATACTTTGTAACAGACTCTATAAAATGTAAGTGATCATTATTACTGTTGCTGTTAATAACAAGTCAAGGTAACAAACATTTTTTAAGTACCTACAATTCCCTGAACCAATATTGTTATAAAAAGAGGGGCAGGAGGCTGCATGGAAACAGGAAAAAGGAAATGAAGAACCAGAATTTAATTAGAAAATCATACAATCTCAGAGCTGGGAGATACTTCAGAAGTCCAGCTATACTAGTGGAGGAATTCACTTGACAATACCTCTAGCATCAGGGACTCGAGGTGGCTCATTCTGTGTTCTTAGGAAGTTATTCTTTATAACAAGAGATAATCTACTCTCTTTTAATGCCCACTGACCTAGCTGTGCTGCGATGACAGAGTGTCACTATATTTTGCTAGGAGTATTTAAAAACAGGTCTTGAGTTGGTCAAGTTACTAGGGACCTGGAGGCAATCTTAAGAACTGGCTTTCAGACTACACTTTTCTCTAAGCCCGTGATTCCCATATCACCCATATAGGGAGTAATTTGGTAGAGGTGTAGAACCTGTCACATACTCCATCGCTACTTTGAATCTTACGTGTCTCCCATAGGGCTTTATATATAGAAAACCCTTCATAAACATGTGTTGAATAAGTAGCTGAATTTCAACTGGGGCCAGATGTTCAAGCCAGCTAACTTGGTGACATTCTGCTGAGTATTTGTCTACTTACCAAGTAAGAATAGCTGTTCCTCTTCAGACTTTGCCTCTTCTAGGCCTTTGAGGAAACGGCTATTGACCTTGACGATATCATTAATGTTTGAGAATATCACGTCCAAGTCTTCCTCTGGCAGCTAAAAGGCATAGAGATTACAAAAGGATATCAAAAGCACAGATACGAAATAAGCCAAGGTCTTTTTTTTAATTGAGATCTAGATCCAAGACGTCTGCAAAACTACCAGAAACCTTCAGAAGAAAAGATAACAAAATGTCACCAAGAATCCCATCAACAAAGCTAGAAATTTCTCAAGATACAATAAAACGGATAATAAATATATGGTGTTACTAAATATAATTAGAAAAATCAGATTTCAAAATAAAGATGAAACTAAAGAAACTCTGGAAAAGATGATGATGGAGCTCAACAGTGACAAAATCCATTGATAATATAATATAAGCTACAGATTTGGTGACAGATGGGAACATTTTATTAAACATTAAAATAATAACAGAAGGAACTGAGGAAAATAAAAAACAAATTTTTTTTTAAAAAAAATTTTAAGTTTTTAAATCAATGTAGATAATAGTCATAGTAAAGTGTGAAAAACTTAAGAAGTGTCAAGATTGACAAAGACTGTGTATAAGAAGATACTGTGACCACTACGTTACATTAAATTACACAAGAAAATTTACCATAAATATTGAAAACAAGGGATACATTGGGCAGAAGCATGATGTAGTAGATTTAGAGTCAGAACTTGGGTTTGAATCATGGATCTGCCATTTATTAGTCATGATCTCAGGCAAGTCAGTTAAATTCTCTTGGCCTATCTTAGTTCCCTCAACTGTAAAATGAGGGAGCTAAAATATATGAGCTATAAGGTCCCTTCCAATTCTAAATCTAAAACTCATATGATATCAGAAGATAACTCTAAATTTAATTCATCTAGATACATTATTGTTGAACTTTAAGACTCAAATGACAAAGAAATTATTTCCTAAGCAATAAAGAAGCATATCATATAAAAACCCACCAATTCTAATTGTACAAAATTTCTCTACAGTAAAAAAAATGACAGAAGTAGAAATGTGATATGCCTAATGTTTAATTTTTAGGCTTCATCTAAAATCAATTTCTCAGCAAAGATAAGCATTCTTTTTGGAAGTTAAAGCATAAGAACTGGTAGTTTTCAAAAGAAGAAATGTAAGTTAACAACAATGATATGAAACAATGTTGTGAATCATTAATAATAATATATTAGGTACTTGATACCTATCAGATTGGCCAAGATGAAAAAAACTAAATAGTAAATGCTTGAAGGACAATGTGAAGACAAGCATTCTAATTCTGTTGATAGAGGTATGAATTAGTCTGAAAAATAATTTGGAATTATTCTAGAAAAATCACTAGACCCTAATCACCAGTCAATAAATATCTATTAACTGCCTACTAAGTGCCGGGCATTGTCCTATGTGTTTGGGCGGCTAGGTGGCGCAGTGGATAGAGTACTAGGCCTGGAGTCAAGAAGAGCAGAGTTCATTCAACTCTAGCTTCAGACACTTAACTAGCTATGTGACCCTAAGCAAGTAACTTAACCTTGTTTCCCTCAGTTTTCTGTCATTTGTAAAATAAGCTGGAGAAAGAAATGGCAAACCATTCCAGTATCTTTGCCAAGAAAACTCAAAATGGGATCACGAAGAGTCAGACATGACTGAAACAATTCAACAACAACAAATTGGGTTATGAAAAAGAAAGACACCTTCTGTCCTCAAGGTGCTTACCAGTCTAATGGGGGAAGACAACACAAAAAAGAAAGCTTTCAGCTTGCCTGAAAGGTAAGGTACCTGGCAGGCACAGTGGAGAAGCCGAAGTAGTCTAAAAGGTAGCCAGGTGGGAAATGAGGAAATGAGATGTTACAAATCTGTGACAAGGCTTTGGCACCACTGCTAGGAATACACCCCAAGCAGGCAAATGCCTAGATAGAGCGAATGGTACCATATTTACAAAAATATTTAGAACAGCCTTTTTTGTGAGTGCAAAAAACTGGAAACAAAGTGATCACCTATCAGTTGGGAGATGGTAGAACAAATTGTGTTACATGAATGTAATACACTGTAAGGAAAGAAGGATAAAAAGAATTCACAGAAACTTGATATGAACTGAGACATAATACAGTAAGCAGAAAAGAGAGAACAATTTGTACCATGATCAATATAACAAAGAAAAAATAACATTAAAAGACATCAGAACTCCAATCAAGGCACTGAAAAATCTTCATATATCTTCTCTCCACAGAGAGGTAGTAGTTGATAAATTGCAGAATGAGGCATATGTTATCAGATATGGCGAATATGTTGGTTTAATTTAATTATACTTCTTTTCTTAAAGAGAAGACTAGCCATATTTCAGGGGGAAGGATTATTGGGAAATAAGCCAATATTCTTTTTAAAGCATCAATAAAATATTCTTAAAACATGAAAGGAAACAATTTTTAAAGCTACATACATTTGAGAAATTTATAGAGGGAAGGGCCAACCTTGAAAGAGATTTTGATTTACAGAACCAGAAAAGCACAGAGACTTTGGGTCAGACTTAGGTATAAAAGTTAAGTATTTTGAAAGAGAAAAAAGGAACGAGTAAGATGGCGGTGGGGGGGGGGGAAGTGAAAGAAAGAGACAATCTTCAGGTGAACAAGTTTGAATCATTTAATAATTACAATTGGGAAAGCTGGTTAGCAATTTCAAAAAACAACAACAAAAATCCTCACAACCACACCTAACATCATGTGCTACATTAACTTCAGTTGGATTATATGCAAGCATAAAAACTATAAAAACACGTTAAAAATATGGAAGAAAAAAGGATAATATGTTTATCTCAACTCTAAAAGGGAAATAAATTTCTATACAAAAGTGAATAAATTATTGGAAACAAGATAAGGATGTTCAATTTTATAACAATGAAAAGTTTCTAACAAATCTATTATATATATGACTAAAAATGGGAAATGTTTGTGGCAAACATAACAGAAAATAGATAAAACAACAACTTAATGTCTAAAATTTTAATGAAATTGACAAAAATATTCAAAGGCAAAAGCATTCAAATACATAAATGGCAGACTGAATAAGTTAATTATATGCTTATTATAGTTTACAAGAGGTAAGGCAAACTATAAATTTTAAAAAGCACTCAACCTTACTAGTAATGAAAAAATCAAAGAAGTCTGAGGTACCACTTCACACCTATCAGATTGGCTAATATGACAGAAGAAGAAAATGACAAGTGTTAGAGGGGATGGGAACACTGAGTCACTAATGTACTATTGGTGGAGTTACGAACTGATTAAACTATTCTGGAGATCAATTTGGAACTATGCCCAGAGGGCAATAAAACCATGCATACCCTTTGACCCAGCAATACCACTACTAGGTTGGTATCCCAAAGAGATCATAAAAAAGGGTAAAGGAACTACATATACAAAAATATTTGTGGTGGTAAAGAACTAGAAACTAAGGGGATGCCCACCAACCGAGGAATGGCTGAATAAGTTGTGGCATATGATCGTGATGGAATACTATTTTGCTATAAGAAATGACAAGCAGGATGCTCTCAGAAAAACATGAAAAGTCTTACGTGAATTGACACAAAGTGAAGTGAGCAGAACCAGGAGAACATTGTACACAATAAAAGCAGTATTGTACAAAGATAAACTGTGAATGACTTAGTTCTCAGCAATACGATGCTCTGAGAAAATTCCAAAGGGCTTATGATGAAAAATGCTATACACCTCCAGTGAAAAAAAGTAACGGAATCAATGCAGACTGAAGCGTATTTTTTAAATTTTTCTTTATTTTTTTTTGTTTATTTTGTCAGTGTTTTCTTTCACAACATGACTAATATGGAAATATGTTTTGCATTATTATACATGTATAACCTATATTAAATTGCTTGCCTTCTCAAGGAGGAGGAAGGTAGGAAGAGAATTTAGAACTCAAAATTTTTTTTAAATGAATGTTAAAAATTGTAATTGGGAAAAATAATTTTTTTTAACAAAACAAAAAGGCAAAAAAAATACTGATGTGATTCAGTCACTCCAGAAGTATATGAATTTGGGGGGCAGTAGACAAAGATCTCATACTTAAAATACTAACAGTTAAATTAATGTACTTGGAAGGTCTAACAACAGTTACAGTATTAGCACCCTTTACTCAACTTCCCAACCCTCTATTACCATTAGTGTACAAATGGAAAAGGGCCATATAAGACTAAGGATCATTTTCTAATTTTTCTGGGTTTCATGGCTTTCTTCTGACATGGAATTAGTCATCTCTTAACTAAACAGCTGCTAATGAACTTCTCCACACTCAGCCAGGTTGGTCCTCAGATGGCAGGGGAAAATTTATCACCATGACCACACTCAAGGTTTTTCCAGTTTAGTAGAACTGGCAGAATTTAAACTCCATTGGTATAGTCATGAACTCAGAGATCACTACATGCTATGGTGAGAGATTAGATTAGAATTTATAGAGAGAAACAAACAAGAATATCAATGAAGAATTAGTATTTTAAAAGGAAGAAAATTCAATTCAATTCAACAAATACTTATCAAATACCTACTTTGTACTTGGCACACTGCTAGGCCCAGGGGACATGAAGACCAAAAAAAATTGAAATAACTCCTCCCCTAAGACAGCTTACATTAATATTGCGAGGGAAGGACATGTATATAGAGAACTGAATTCAAAATGCAAAGTAATTTACATGGAGAAGGTGAATATTGCATATGAAAGGCTGTTTGTAATTAACAGAATGGGGCTCACAGAGGGCACAATGAAAGGACAGGATAGAGTGGAAGGGAGAAGATAAGCCTGGCATGGATTGTTATGAGGGAGTAAGGAATTTGGGCAGTCTAAGATAGCATTCTGGGTAGAACCATATGGCAACAGATTGTCACCATCTTCAAAAAATAATGATAATGTTGATTTTGTTTTTAGGAAGTCCATTAAGCTTTACCACTTTCTGTGCTAAGTTATTTATTCTCTTTCCAATCATTTCCTTAAGAGTTTTTATTTCTTTTTTTTTTAACCTCCCACTTCGTGTCTTCTGGATATTCACGTAGTCCTTGTACAA